CAAGACGGAGCTGATGGACCTGCGGGCGGACGGCTTCGTCATCAGGAACCAGCACGGGGAGGTGGTCTTCCGGCTGGCCTTCCGCTCGGGCACCCTCGACCTGGAGTCATGCTCCAAGGAGGGCGAGATTTTGAGCTGCACACGGTCGGGTGGGGGACCGCTCAACTTCTTCATCCAGACGGTGAAGCCCAAGGACACGGTGATGTGCTACCGTGTGCGCTGGGAGGAGCTGGCGGCCGGCCCGGCGGTGGAGCACACCATGTTCTGGGAGGACGCCCACTGGTACGGGGGCTCGGAGATGAGCACCCAGCACTGGCCCATCCGCCTGGCTGGCTACCAGGAGCCTGTACCCTACGTGACGAGTGACGTCTACTCCTTCCGCGACAGCTTTGGCGGCATCCTTGAGCGCTACTGGCTCTCCTCCAAGGCGGCGGCCATCAAGATCAACGACTCCGTGCCCTTCCACCTGGGCTTCAATGCCACCGAGCGCACCCTCTTCTTCCAGGCTCGCTACAAGGACTCGCCCTACAAGCCTCCGCCGGGGCAGCAGCCCTTCCCTGAGCTCAGCTACCGGGTCTGCGTGGGCTCCGACGTCACCTCCATCCACAAGTACATGGTGCGCAGGTACTTCAACAAGCCCTCCAAGATCCCTGCTGAGAACGCCTTCCGATACCCCATCTGGTCCACCTGGGCTCTCTACAAGAACAATATCGACCAGGATAAACTCTTGAGATTTGCTGAAAAAATCAAGAAGTACCATTTTAACTGCAGCCACATTGAAATCGATGACATGTACACGCAAGCCTATGGGGACTTTGACTTTGACCCTGTCAAGTTTCCCAACGTGACAGAGATGTTTGCAAAACTGAGGGAGGATGGGTTTAAGGTCACCTTGTGGACTCATCCTTTCATCAACTACAATTCCTCCAATTTTGGAGTGGGAATTGAGCGGCAGCTGTTCATCAAGGAGCCGTCGGGGCGTCTGCCGGCCATGGTGGAGTGGTGGAATGGCATCGGGGCCATCCTGGACTTCACCAACCCGGCAGCCCGGGACTGGTTCCAGAGCCACCTGCGCCAGCTCCGACACAAGTACGGCATCTCCTCCTTCAAGTTTGACGCGGGTGAGACCAGCTACCTGCCCAAGCAGTTCAGCACCTTCCGCCCACTCTCAGACCCCAGCATCTGGTCACGGCGCTACACGGAGATGGCCATCCCCTTCTACGAGCTGGCTGAGGTGCGGGTGGGCTACCAGTCACAGAACATTTCCTGCTTCTTCCGCATCATTGACCGCGACTCCGTCTGGGGCTACGAGCTCGGCCTCAAGTCCCTCATCCCCACTGTGCTCACCATCAGTATGCTGGGGTACCC